ATGTGTGCTTGGGTGCTTATGTGCATGATGGTGTTAAGAATGTTAAGGATGGAGCTTCGGTTTATAATTTTTGCCTTGGCAATTCCTGCTATAATGGAGGAAGAATAATAATTTTGACCATGCTCCTAAAGAGATGTCCTGCATGGAAGTGTTGTGCATGTTTTGGTAGCTCTAGAAAGCCTGTCTGCAAGATACTGGGACATTCTGCCTGAATTCATTAATTTACTGCTGTTTAAAATGATTCTTGGGCTTCTCTATAGATCTCTTTTGCTATTTTTAAGACTTCAAACAGTAAAATAGATTTCTCAAAATTCATGTTTGTAGGAATATCTTCCTCTTTTTCTCATTCTCTTTCTATTTGACATATGGAAAATTATACACAATTTTACTGGCAGAAAGATTTTCAGTAGAATTATTTAAAATAAATTGGCTAAGAGCTAGAAGGATATTACTTGGTTAATTTCTCTGAGAGCCAACCTCATGAACCCATTATAATTTCTTTATTAAATCAGGAGCTAAAGCATGTGATATCCTTTCAGATATTTAAATAATGCTATTATAACCTCCTCAGACAGTTGTTCTTGAAGCTAAAATTATCCTATTCATTTCTCTTCCTAAATATGGTCTCTAGTCTCCTGATCATCTTTGTATCTTTCTCCTCATATGTTCATTTTTTTCTTCTTAAAGTATGATGTTCAGAACTGGACACAACTCTTGTTCTGATCAAAGCAGAACAAGATAAAATGATTGTTTCCTGTGACTTGGAAATTAGGAAGCCTAAAATTGCATTTGCATGCTTTGGAACTGCCCAACATTCCTTGGTTGGGTGGATGCAGACATGAGAATTGTTTTTGTTTCTTCACTTACTTTAATTTAAGTTCCCTCTACAGCATTGCCAAATTAATTTATTTGTATTTCTAAGCAAATTAGATTCCTTAGCCTCTGGGGCTGGATCCAATTTATCTGGTCCCTGCCTCTGAATTTGCTACAAAACCCCAACATTTCACAGTCAGTGATCTATCCACAGGAAGAAAACATTGCTAGGGCCTCTATATTACTTAAACCACATCTAAAATCAAAACTGGCATAAGGATACTGCCTGCCTCCTGGGTAGTTTCTAAAAGACAAAATTTTGAACCACACCTCTCAAGATAACCTCACTGGTGGCTGGAGCACATCCTACTATTTGGAATGATTGCTGCCCTTAAATGCAGCACAGTCCAGAAAGGGGAATAGCGGCGAGTTAGAAGGGAAGATGAACTTATTTTCTATATGAACAGCCATCCCAAGTCCTTAGTATCTATACTGCTGCTGAATGGAGGACCAGCCAGTATGCAGTTGGCCTATATAACACAGAGTGAAGCAGAGACTTTCTTTCAGGTTTCTTTCATTCAGTGCTTTCTTATTAAAACTATGAATATGGGATTCTCACTTATCAACTGGATATCAGTACCTGTTGCCTCATAGATCCTGGTGGATTGTTTTTAAGTTAGGTTGCATAAGACCTTGCAATAGGTACCTTGGGTATGGATTATTACAGCAGGCTCATTCATTACTGCTGGAGGTTGCTCCAATGCACATTTTGTTTTGGAAGCATTTTAAAACCGCAGTTTAATCTAGTGAGATTAAATTTGCACACACACACACACACACACACACACACACACGCACACACACACACACACACACAGACGAAAATATAAACAAACAACATCTAAAGACTCTCTCAAGCTGTTGTAATAGTTAGAAGGAATAACCTTGAGGAACAGAAGAGCTGCAACCAAAACAATGGTCAGGTGAAAGAAAACTAAACCCAGGGAAGAAAAGCAATATAAGAAAGGATCTCATCCATGACCCTCTCTAGTTCTGATAGTAAGAGAGAAAACAGGAAATGGGGAGGGGGGGATACATTCAGAATTCCAATATTCTGTTACTATAATCTAATAATAAAAGTATTATTACTTTGCATGTCTTTGGTTTCCATTTTTGGTCAACGTTGGAAGGCTGACAACTGACAACTGAATACACTGGATTGTCCATGTAGTTTTCTTGGCAATATTACAGAAATTGTTTGCTATTGTTTTCTTCTAGCTTGTTTTTTCACTTGTCAATCAAGTTAAAAACCTGGTATGTGACTCGTGACTTCCCTTCAAGACCATGCCGGTGATGGATTGCTGATCTTAATACTGAATTTGAGGGCTGATGGTCAGAGAAGAACCAATTGCTGCCCACAAGGCATTTTTAAATGTGTGCTGGATTTTTCCTTCCTCATAAAAATAAACAAAAGTGGTCACAAAGGCAATACAAAGTAGAGGACTACCTATAATAGATATCAGTGCATACAGAGAAATGTTATGTGCACTCATAGTCAATGAATAGGGAGAAAAGAAGGAAAATGTTCTCCCAAGGTTTTGTTTTGAAATGGCAAAATGAAAATAGAGGATCCAGTCCATAAAAATGCAACAGGTGCAAAACGAAAATCAGTGCTTGCTGGATTTTATGTATCATTCAAATGGAATATGACCAAAATTCTTGGCCAGATACCAAGAATACTATGAAAATTTAAACAATACTGAGGAGAAGAGAATAGAAGATTGGAGGAGACCGAGAAAAAAAAATGATAAAAGGCATTTTAATATTTTAAACATTGTTGAGAACACATACAGTCTAGATACTAAGGTTTACTCAGTGGAATAATTTGAAATATAACAGTAAACTTATTCACAGCATCTACCACCGCCACACTGACATTCCTCCAGCTCTTTGTCTCTGAACCATGGAACTTTATGTGCTAGTAAAGCAACATGAGTTTGATTAAATTAATGTATATACTGCTAGTATTTCTGGGACTGAGAATTTTGGATTGTAATGCAAATTTTATCCTCCCTGAGTGAAATTTGAGCTAATCAAACTATTGCCACATGTATCTGTTTTTCAGATTTTAATAATTAGAAACTTGGTTTTATGAAAATTCAGGATGCTGGGTATATTTCTCCCTCTGGTATACTAAGATGTGTTTTTGTGTACACATGCATACTCAGGCACATATGCTGCAGAATATATTGTATATAATAATGTAACTTTCATGGTCACAATTTGGTTCAATTGGATTGAGATGGGCAGCTACAGAATTTGAATGAATGAATAAATAAAATAATGCATCAGAAGAAACCTACATGTCTTTCCTTCAAGAACATACATTTGGTTGGTTTCCTGTGTTGGGCCAGGAGGAAAAGAAACTTCAGGAACATTACAGTATCTGCTTAATGGTCATACAAAGTACCTTAACTTTCATTGCATTTTGCCTTTCAAAAGCTTTTGTCCAGATATTTTCCAAGAAATATGAGACTATCATAAACATATCTCAATCCAGGAATATCAGCATGTCACAATATTTGCTCAGTCTTTTCTTGATTGAAGTGGGCGGATGTCTCACCAGAAGCCTGTATCTTTGTTGCTTGGTTGCTATAATCCAGGAATGCTAAGTATTTCTACTACTGAAAAGAATAATCACATTTTCACTAACAGATGTCCTACCTTTAATAAAACTAGGATTTAATTTGGTCAATTTTTTTGGGATAAGTTTTAGATTGCAGATACTGCTGGGAAAAAAAATCAGGAGGAATGGCTGCAACAATGCTGAAACAATCCATTTGCCTTGAGTTTCAACAAATACCAACTCTCCAAGGATAAAGTTCATTGAAATTTGATGTAACTTGTCAAGTTCTGCTTAGAGTTGTTTAGTAAAGGTTAAATGCAGTTTGCTTTGCTCACTGAGCTCATTCTAGCTTCCTGTCTGTCATTTTGTGTTGACTAACTTTATCTGACTGTGTCTGACAAGTGCTGAAGACATCATGCAGGGCAATAGCCTATGTGCTGAAGTACTTAATTAAACTAGCCTTGAAGAAAAATAAGGCCTTTCTTAGGCTATGATGACACCATCTGTTTTTTTCAAGATGTAACCTAAGATGTTATGGACAACAGATGGTTCATTCAGTCCTTTAATTTGGATCATGACTTAATTTACCTACTTCAAGGTAAATCAGGATTCCATAAGAACTATTTCTGAAAGAAGTCTGTTTTCCTGTCCTGCCTGGTAGTAAATTACTTTGACAAAAAAATATTGTAAGTAAAGAGAAATTCAATATTGTAAGAGTATGGGAATGTTATATGCATGAGACACAGTGTACATCAGTTCTATCCTTATCCAAACTGATGATGAACAGAAAATGGCCATTTTCCTAATACTCCAATGGAAAGAATGCACAGCTTTTAGCCACTAGCAAACAACTATTTAACTTTGTCCTTTGGTTTCATAATCAAGATTCATTATCTGAATGGGGGAAAATGTACTATTTTTTGAAATAAATTTTTATTTTATTTTTAAAAGGGAAACAATAAAACAATGATTAAAAACATTGCTCACAGTTCTAACTTCCAGTTGTTTATAATGATGCTCCCTGCTTTCTGCATGCATATCAAGAAAAAAGTCAAGTATTGTGGAACACTATGAAATGGGCATGTTCACATTGGCACACAGACTAAAGCTTAATCTTTGTCTCCTCTACTAAAAATGTCAAGGTAGCCTGTTTAATTCTGAATACACTAATCGAGATACAAATAAATTGCTAGATTAGTACTAGCAACACTGTTTTAACAATTTCCTCTTCAAAAAGAAAAAGGAATTATTGTTAGCAAGGTAGATCATGGCATCTCTTTCATACTGTCGTTCATTTAAGTAGTGAAAAAACATTGCATTGTATATCAGGGGTTTGATCCTTATCTTAAATCAGTTGCTTTGTTCATTGAAATCAATGTCTGTCCAATAGAACTTTTAATGATATATAAACATGTTAGGGTAGCTAATTACATGTTATTTCAATTTAAATTATTTCCACTTAATCACTGTGATTATTAATTTCTTGGCTGAGAAAAAAATAGGAAGTGGTATCCAAATGTCATGTGCAGGCAGACAAAACAAATAAATCAGGAAATGCAACCAAATGAGATTTAATAAGCTCAAGAAACAAGAGTTGTAAGGAAACAAACTTCATGTTCACCTTTTGTGGTACAGAGAAATTGTGATCTCGGAATTATGATTATGAAATGTGCATACTTTTCAGTTAGATCAAACATCATTGGAATGGTTCACAAGTTATGTGATGCACCTAAATTAATTATCATTTTCTAAGAAGGATGAGGTCATTTGGATATTTAGAAAACACATCAATAGAACTTGAGGGCGAAAGAAGAAAGTCACAGAGGAATCTTTGGAAAAATTAACATTTGAATTCACTCTAATCCAGTGTATTAAAGTAAACAGAAAGCAGTGAAGTTTATTACATACCCTTCATATCGGAATTTCAAGAATATTTACCTCAATAGATATTTACAAGGATCTTTTTCAAAGAAGAAAATCAACATTTTTTCTGCATCTATGTCACAAAGGTTTTAATTGATGGGCAACTTAACCTATACAAAAATAATAAAAATGGAATAATAAAGCAGCACTCAATAAAACACTTTGACAATAAATCAAATGCAGCTTTACTTTGCAATATTTCCAAATGGAGCCTACATCCAATATTTAATGTCTGAATTCTAACCTCCTAAGGCTCATAGGAAAACAAATGATGGCTTTAGTGGGAAAAAGTGTCTTTTACCACTGATCACATTGGGACAAGAGAGGCACAATGCCAACTACTGTACTTTTATAATAGTTCTCATGTCCTTCTTTATTTCTGGAAAGTTAAGCAATGGATTGAAAGAATTCTGTCATTAATTAATTTAGAAGATCTCATTCTTCTCTTTCTGTCAAAAATTGAATAATTTGTTTTAAGCTCTATCAATACTTCAGAATTTGGTTGGTTTCAATCTTTAATACCTCCCATGAATGAATAATGAAAACAGAAGAATGGTGAGGAGAGGGAAGGATAAATTAAGAATTCTTAGTCAACAGTTTTTAGATCCTCAAATATGATTACGGTTTTCAAAATATTTTAACAGAACGAAGTGGCTTACATTCTACTATAGATTTAGGCTACCTGAGATGTTCAGCAGTAGATGGCAGTAGATAGAAATCTCTCAGGAAAGACTAATATGTAATAGAGAAATACTTGTTTTATTCCAACCAGTTGAAAAAGTGGATTGGGATTCTTGATACTAAGCACATCAAACCACTTGAAAGTTCAAATAACTGTCTTTATCAATATTGCCCAATCTGTCTCCTTACTCTCCCAATGTGTGGACTTCAACTCCCAGAAATCCTCAGCCAACAAGAGTGGATAAGACTGCCCTAGGACAGGCGAAGGATTATGGGGTATCCATGGTATTGTGTTCTACATATTCAGTCATTGAAACTGGGATCTCATTTGGAACAGAATATCTTAGCACACATAGATATACACTTTAAAGCCCTTGGCACATAATCATCAATCAAATTAAAGATGGTTAGTGTCTGCTTGGCAGAAATAATGTTGTGCTTTTAAAACACAGTGGTTTCATTCCTTGCAAAAATGATTAAAGAGGGTACTTTTCTAGTTATTACCATATATATTGAATAAATATTAAACTGTCCACAAAATCCCTTTGGAGGTGGGATGGGAGGAAACTCACCAATATTATGGAAAACTCACCAAACCTAATGGAAAATATGTTACATCAAATTGAAGTTGTAGTTTAAAACACATCAAGGATAAAAGCATCAGATAAAGGGATCTGTATTCTTCTGACTTAAGGTATACTGGGACTTTGTATTTGTATGTGTATCTGTATTTCAAAATGTAATTAATTAGAGTTTACATTCTTAAGAAGATACATTTACGTTACATCTTTTTAAATGGGCAAATGTATTCGTATTATACAGTGAGTCAATGCACAAGTCTTACTGTCTGTGGTCGCATCATTGATATATCTTAATTTCTGTCAAATTGCAGTAAAATTTTGCTTTAATGGACTTCAAGTGCAATAAACAAAATCTGTCAGTACGCTGTATGCTTCTGTGCATGCATAAAAGCCCATTTGCCACTTACACATGCATAACAATCCCATGCACCATTTTATTCATGCGTACCATATATCAATTACGCATGTATAAATCCCTATTCCCATTTTATGCATGTATAGATGTGTAAAACCTGCAAATATAAAATCCCATTCTGATTTAATGGATGCTTTACTTTAACAGGCATTCCTTTCCCCTTTTAGTTCATTAAATTGAGTGTTACTTTATTCTGTGTTTCATAACTAAATGCTAATCAACTATAAATGAGGACATTATGAAGGAAGGAAGAATATGAAGAACAGCAAAATGGAACAGATAGATTTTTTAAAAGGCTTTTCTTCCTAAGATCCTAGATGACAGATATGCCTGATTTATATAAAAGGTAAAAGTTTTCTGCACAAAAATATGCTATTAAAAAGAGTGCTTTTAAAGATGTATCTATTGTTTCTACGAAGGGCCCAATTTCTTTGACTAATGGTAAATTTTAAATGAAGGGGAATAAATGCTTTCTGAAAAATGTTTCTGCACTGAAAACAGTACTGCTTCTTTTCTGTAATGCTAAAATAGCAGCTTATTTTTGTACACTTTGTATGGCTGATGCTGTTCAAAAAATAAACTAATAAATCTCTTTGTGGATTACATAGAAGATATTTGCATATTTGTTCATTGATTGATACCTTAAACAAAGTTTCCTAGATCGGGAGGTTCTGCAACTCTGGCTACATCAGATACACGTGCTTGGGTTAGGTCTCAGAGAAAGATCTAATACAATATCATTTGGTTATGTGTGTGTGTGTGTGTGTGTGTGTGCACGCGCGCGCGCGCGCGTATAAATCTTAGCCTTTGAAGGAACTGTATTATCTAAAGAGAAAACCATGGCTTACAGTGGAATTCCTACTCCTAACAATTTCGGTTGGTCTGTTCCAAGCATGATTACATCTTTCTTTCCATTTTTTTGCTGAATCAATTTCATACTTCTCTCTCTATCCTTGATTTGTCACTTCTTAAGTGTTTCCTTTAGTGTTAACTGCAGTGTCTTCAGTACAATACTCTCACTATAAGAGAGGGACTGGGAAAAGGTAGGAGTAGCAGAAGCTGAAACAATACATAATCCAGTTTTTCACCTTACTGTCTCAATTTGATTCTGTTTTTAGATGAGTGGAAATATTGCCTTTTAAAATATGCAAATCTTTTGCCTTAATATATCTGCTATACAGAATGATTCCAGAAATCTTTGACATGAATGGCTCTATAAAGTCTAAATTCCTTCAGCTCTTCCATCCTTGAAAAAATAAAATATCTAAGTGACAGTGTTGATCTCATGCCACATGGCACAATGTTGTATACAAAATGTTATGTTGGAATAACAGAATGAAAATTGATTACCTAGAGAGAACTGAAAGATTGATCAGCCTTTCAAGTCAAAAGTGAGGCTCTATAAGATGTTGCTTATAGCATCTCAGGTGAATCCTACCTTTCCCAGGGTATATTCCATACATTAAGTCATTAAACTGGATTCAACATAAATTCCTAGTATAACCAATTCCAATCATACCCTATTTGCAATAGACCAGTCTTCTACTGTGAAATGTATACCAGTTTTCCCCCTCAGTGTAAAAATATACAATGCTACTGCATATATATATATATTTTTGCTGCAGTTAAATGCTCAATCAGTCCTTTTTTTTTCCTGAAAGTTCTGGTTTCTTTTTCCTTTCACATATTTTTCATACATCTCCTACCCAGACTACTGTGTTGCCCTTCTTGATTCCTGAAACTTCACAGCGTAATGTATTTTGTCTGCCATTAATTATAAAGAGTGAACTCTTTGCTGGTGTTAGAAGGTATTGACCAAATAATCCACTGTCTTGGATAATTCTGTTGTAGCTGTTCCAGGGCCAGTCTTTAGGTCTGATAGGGTTTTTTAAGTTCTTCAAGAGGTCCATTTTCCCTGTCGACAACTCAATAAAAAGCACATCTGTTTGCAAATGTGAAGAAGCATATATATAATACTGATTGGCTTCAGTGAAAGAGGATTGGAATGTCAGATGAGATATGTGCATAGAGGTTTGTAAATCATAAATCAACTTGATTTCTCCTTGGACAGTTATGGCCTGGATTCTGATCCTCCTGCTGTCTTCATCTGCACTGACCAAATAACGTCCATCTGGAGAGATGTAGGGAGTACCTGATACATCATCATTGGGACCAATAACAGAATCTGTAACACTGTCAATTATAAGTTGTGGAATCCTTGGCATGGATGTGTTTGCTTTGCACTGCACAAAGAAGTAACCTCCCAAGTGGGTGTAGGCCATGGCTTGGGGCAGGCAGCTGTAATTTCCAAAGCTGATTGTCTTGATATGAGCCATGGTTTCCAGATCAATTTTGTGAACTGCAGCCTTTGACTTATTGAAGATGAAACCAAACCTGTAAACAAAAGGCAAAACATAGTATAACAAAATGTGCACTTTAAGAAATGTGGCTCCATTCAGGAGTGAGCACGTTTATGGTGCCCAAATGCTCAAAACCAACATTTATTTATAAACTGTAGCAAGAGTCAAACTTCAGTCTCAGGTATGAGATACTATGGCCCACCTTCCAAAAATTTGGAGTGAACATCATAAACAGTGAGTGAAGTGAGCACAGAAACTAGATACCATGAGCAGTAAATTAATTTCAAATAATTAGTATGCCATATTAGTATGCCAAATCTTTTATAACTTTTCATCTGTCACATTGGAAATTACAGTTTGATGGAAACTCTGAAGGTACTTTTGTACCTTCTCACCTTATCCAACCTTGCTTAGATCAAATGTCACACTGTATTTTGATCATGGGAAGGAATGAGGCAAAGAAAATTTGCCTTGTTTAATTCCATATAGAGCTTAATACTGAGCTGCAATAGAATATATTTAATTGAACACAGAGATATCCAGGGAAAGATATTAAAGGTGAAACAACACACGGTCAAGTTTTGTACCATGGAATAAATGGATTCTGTGCAGGTAAAAGATTGAAATGGTGAAATGCCAGAGGACATTCTTGGGTAATAGCAAATACTTCCAGCATTTGCTTTAAGTCTCTTGCTGGAAAAAAAATAGCATTGTCCTTCTGGTTATTGTTTTCAGTGTCTTAATATATGTTTACATTGCATAAAGATTTTTAACTATATCAGACTAATGTAAACCTGACCTCAATAAGTAATACCGAAAACTATTTTTTCAAGATATGTAACTCTTTTCTCAGTGTTCTCATTGAGTTGCTCTTAGCCATTGGTAGAGCAGACAATGGAAATCAAAGGGTTTTATCCATTTTAAAATATAAACATCTATATAGAAGAGCTAGCTAAGGACGCAAGTGATGGTAGATTTTTTTTTTGGGGGGGGGACAAATGACAACATTTCCTGTTATCCATTGAACTCTTCCTTCCGTTGCAAACAATGCTTATTAAGCAGAATGAGGTGGAAGAGTATTAGAGTATTAGAAGAGCTGAAGAAACACAGCATCTGTCTTGAACCGAAAAGATAGTACCTCCCATTGTGACTTGAATTCAAAGGAATTAATAGAAAATGTTCTACATGGATGGTCCCTCCACCTGGAGAGATTAAGATAATAAGGTTATGGTATTTGGACTACCAAATCTGGACGACCACAAAGGTCAGATATATAGCAGCATTAATTTGAAATGGGTTTTCATAATTTGTGGTTTTTTTTCAGATAAACATGGTCCTAATATTCCAATTCCTTTGATTGAAAACCATATTTCTAGCTGTTCTAGTACAAAGAAACTCCTTCTTTCTCCAAATAATAATCATTACTACCAACCACAAAGAGTTTTGAGATTGTGGTGGATGGTGAATAATTTACATGTGCACATGTAAATAGAAAAAATAAGTTGAAAACTGCACAATATCATGCATAAAAATTCATTCCTTAAGAAAAAAAAAGTTTTTATATTCTCGGATCTTGCCAATAACCCTGGGATTTAGTTTGTCTTTCAACTATTATACTTGCATCAATTACAAATTAAAAAAGAAATCTAGCGCAGAAAATGAAAATGGTGTGTGACTGAGGAGTAATAAGATTATGCCTGCTGTTCCTTTGTATCAGGAAGCAGTGAAATGTATTTTGAAGAAAAATACTTTGTTTAAACACTTCTACGCTTACAATAAATGTAAATGCAGTATAAACCAGTGGTAATTTTAAGGCGTATAGACTTCAACTCCCTTCCCCATGGCTGGCTGGGGAATTCTGGGAATCAAAGTTTATATATCTTAAAGCTGCCAAGGTTGAGAAATACTGGTCTAAACAGACATCTGATAGCTTGGTTTATATACTCATGGAGATTTCTTAGGAGACATACCCAGGGTTACATTGACAGGTGAATGAGGCAGATCAATGATACACCTGCTATTATTAAATAACCACTCAACCATTTACTGTACATTCCTTCCATTTTTTTCCTCTTGGTGGCTATTTTTTTTTGTTGTTGTTATTCAAACACGGAGTTTGAACATTACTAATTATAATTTCTTCAAGGAGATACCTGTCTTAGTTGACTGTCGGTTAAAACAGGTGGTGGAGCTTGGAAGAATCTCTGTACTATACCTTATTATCTCATATGGAATGACAAAAGTATTGATGTCAATATAAATTAATGATTTCTGAAGCTGTCTCCTTGAAGAAATTATAAGTAGTAATGTTCAGATTCTGGGTTTGAACAACAACAACAACAACAACAATTTTTTTTAGGATCTTGTGTTAAATCATTCTTTGAGCTGACATGCAAAGGTGTGTGAATGTCTTACTTGAAATCTAAACTGAAAAATTGAAAATAGGCTTGCAAGATCAGTTGGGATTGATGCTACTGAAACAGCATCCCTGCTGCATAATAATCTCCCTGCCTGAGCTGCTGGATGCCCTCTCAAAGTTGACTATGAAATTCTCCAGGCTTAGAGTCCTAGAGGACTTCAATTTGCTCTCCCTGGGGCTGGTCTTGGAAGCAGTTCAGGAGTTGAGGGCCACCATGGTAGTGATGGGCCTATTCCAAGCCCATTTGACTTGAAACATGCAGACATGTTTTTCTTGTCAGGGCAGTGACAAGCAGGGAGAGCTACCTTTGTCATGGCCAGATCACAAGTCTGATCATGATCAAAGTCTATTTATTACACTTATACTACTCCTTTTTTCCAAGACCTCAGGTTAATTGACCTAGGGATTCCATTTTGGGTTATCCCTACTACAGTAATCCTGTGATATGGGGGACAGGTCAAAATTATCTAGCCAACTTGCATGACTTAAACCTGGGTTTCACAAGCTTTAATCCAATGATTTAACCACTGCAAAACCCCACTTCTACTAGATTACACTGGAATTCCATTGGACCTCTACAGATCCTTATTACGGTGATTTTATTATGGTTTTATCTTAATTTAATATTTTAGCTCCTATATTGTATTGTCCATGTGTGTGTATGTGTGTGTGTATGCTGATATTTTATTTAATCTGAATTTGTATACCAGTGATTGCATGACCTCTGTAGATGCCATATGCTAAATAAAAATAAAAGAAACATCTGGAATTGGAATATTAATATATATGTATCTGTATACATGTATGCATGATAATAATTTGTATGTCACCCATTGTTTGTGCTATTGCTATTTAAAGCAAACATATACAATTTCTGAAATTAAAACAAAGCATAGTTTTTTTCTCTTAAAAAAAAAATAACAACAGCAAAAAATAGTATTTCACTGTCATGGCAAACCTTTAGCAACTCCCTGGAAGTGATTCTGGATATTGTACAATCAACTGGCTTCATAAATATGGATGATATTGCTTTATGACACTAGAATGGTACATTTGCAATGGGTCTCAGCCAAAAGTAGAAAGATATAGATAAGAAGTCCTAGAATCATGTTCTAACATGGTAGGGAGATATTCAAACTTAACTACATTATTAACTTATTTCCTGAAAACATACTGAATATGTGTCAGACTGCAAAAGCTGAAATCCATTTATTAGACTGTCGCTATACCAAAACTTAAAATGTAAATCATTGGTTGAAGTTTTCATTAAATTAAACTAAAATCCAGTGACAATCTTGAGAATGGAGGAACTAATGGATAATTCTATCAGGTAGTCATGACTGCTCTATTGCTTCTTGAGGTCCATTCTGTCTGTATGATATCATATTCTGTTTCTAGACTCACAAGAGGCTTTACAGAAGATCTTTATGTCTTCTTCTTCTTCATGAGGGTTTTTTTGGTGTGGCAAGAGTACAAAATAAAACCAGTATTGTCTGTGATTCAGAAAAGTGTTGGACTGAAGGGAACTCTTACCTGATGTGATTGATAATCAGATTTGTAGGTGGAATAAAATAATCATCCATTCCAGTCAGGTGAGTACAGATGAATTGCTGGTTCTCTCCAGTGCTTGCTTCTGATATTACCTACCATGAATAAACAAACACTGGCCACTGATAGGAGCAAGAAAGGAAGAACTGAAATATCTAGAAGGCCTAAAATGCATATGAGACCAACAAAGTTGGTGGCCATGTGCATAATAGTAATCCATAAGCCAAAATGATGGTTACATCGGTTCCTAAAAATAAGTATGTTGATGAAATGGCATCTCTGTGTAGGTTTGTAAGATCAGAGAATAATTTCCATTTACATTGCTATACGATGCAGTCATGCAGGATTTGAAACTGTCCTATATCTATATAATCCTGCAATAATTTTTCCACACTAGCAGCAATGAACGTGGATGTTATAATCATGTTTATTTAATCTAATGTAAATACACAAGGCCAATTCACTTTGTTGAATGCCCACAGCAAAGTTATAATATCTAATCATTTATATAAAGGTATATGTATTATAGCTATTAGAAGATGATGTATGGAAATGAGAAAATGGTTTTTCTACTATTCTATTTTTTCTAAAGTCTAATATTTAAAAATGAAATTCTGTATTATTAGGAAAACTCTCTTTTTCTCCAGCAAAATCAGCAAAACATAAAGGTGAAATCTTAAAGAAAGTGTTTATATTCTGAGATTCTTATGTAGGAAGGTGCTTTTGATTCAACATAGCTACTCATTAGTAAACTCATTAGAAGAGTTTACTAATCTGTTGATGAGCAGGAATGCTTTAGAGCAGGGATGTCAAACTCACAATGTCACATGATGTGTCACGACATATCGCAAATTTTTTCCATTGCTGGCAATGGAATGGGTGCAGTTTCAGCATGACGCATCCAGCCCAAGGGCTGGCAGTTTGACATCCCTACTTTAGACTAGAGCAAGAGTCCCCAATCCTGGGGCCACAGTACAGATGTTGACTGTTGACTGTTAGGAACTGGGCTGCACAGCTAGAGCTTTGCAGTGGGCAAGTAGGCAAAATCAAAACCACCTCCCCTGGTCCGTATAAAAATTGTCTTCCACAAAACTGGTCTCTGGTTGGGACCACTGCTTTAGAATGTACTGTATAGCTAAGAATTCACAACCAAAACTGCTAGAGCCTTAAAAGATTTGCTTCAAATATTTAGAGTTTTCTTCATTATACTGCTATAAATCTGATATTTCTTGATGTAGGGATTTAACATAATCAGGAAAATACAGTATATTTTACCCTTCCTTCCTAATACAATATAAACAAAATTAGTGTAACGCAGTGTCCGTAACAGAATCCTAGGAATTCTACAATTTGTGTGACATAATCTGCAAAGTGTTACAGTTCAGATAATTAGGAGCTTGTACAATGGACGTGCAGTGATTTACTTTTTGTGCCATGATCATTTGCATATAGAGATGGCTTTGTAACTGTTACAATCAGAATAATGTTGAAGCTATAATTAGTTATAAGAACAAGCAACAAAGTCCATAGGTTTCTACGAGCGTAAATGGAAGGCTGTGAGTACAGCTAATGCTGGAATTGTGTAGGGGTATCTTTCTTTGAGATGTGTTTGAATATCTTTCTTTCTTTCTCCACAGTGCTGGAAGGCAATCTACACTTACAGAATCTTGCCTTTTTAAAATCTTTTTTTTGTTTCTTTCAATAATGCAAATTACAATATCTAGGAAACTGGTGAGGATAAGAGTGTTTATACCAAGCAAAGGAAAACAGTTTGGCTCAAGAATTCAAGCTTATTCAAGCTTCTCCATGAGACCTGCAATTTTTTTGAGGGGGAATCAATTCTATAACCCTGAATGCTTTAAATTTGATGTCTTTTATGATGATTTGCAATCCACAACATTAAGAGAATGTTAGGAGAACGATAATGGGTTTTCTGGATGGAGAAAATGAAAAGAAATAAGAGAAAGAAAACAATGCAAAAATAAAAGAAATAAAAGGAGACAACTACCGGTAGCATATAGGATAACTCTAAAACTAACTGCAAATAATTAAAAGTGATGTCTGCTTAAATATAATCTGGTTCTGATGATTAGAAGAATGGGTGGTGGACTTCTACAATCCCATTATGCTTGAATGATAGATTTTGATCTAGTGGCGTGTCTTTACAAACAAGAGAAGGAAAGAGATTGCCAGTTCTTCTTTCCTTCATCATCTCCTTGCTCCCATCTCCAGAATCTATTCTGGAGGATGAGCTCCTCCAAAACTAAGGAGGATGAAGCAAGAGGTGCAGAAGAGGACAAATCAACAGAAAGTGTCTTCTCTTGCTCTTTCATTAAGTGATAATTCTTGGAGATCAAAAACTGCCCAATGATGTTGGAATATCTTCAGCCAGTGGCACTGAAATTATCAGTACCTTTCAAACAAGCATGTTTCTGGCTATCAGTTCTGTTTTCAGACTGTTCAAAACAAAACAAAAGATGGAGCTACTCTGAACAGAGGAGCAGAGGAGGCTGCAAAATTGGTATACAAATAAATAATTATATTTCTATTTTAAAAATCCAATTTATAGAAAGATATAAATAAACACTGAGCTATTAAACTCATTGGAAACTTACCTGTAATGTTGGATGGGATTTCTTCATATCCCCCCAGCTAAGTATCCATATTTGGTCATGTGACTTATCATAATGTAACTTCACTGGCAGAGGATCAACATCCAGAGACTTCAAAGAAACAAAACAAAACAACAACAACAAAACCAGTTAGTTCTTTTTCATGAAAAGGAAATGCAGCCTCTGAATCTGGAAACTAATGCAGTTAACAAACTACTAATGAGAATTGCTGGATACGTTTTCCATTTTCTGTTAAAATTAGACAACACAGACCGCCATGTTGACTGCAAATGCCCTGTAGAAGACCTCATGGCCTCTTGAGACCTGCTCCTTTTATTAGTAATACTGATGTCATTTATGATATCATTCTAAAGATGCTCCACCAACATTCTTTTTACATATGCAATTTGCCTCCAGATTCATGCCATTGCATCAACAAAGGACCTAAGTCTAGTGGCTTTTCTCCATAAAGTGTTCATTACATCCAGCTATGAGGAGCTTTGGAAAGTCCCCTGCACTGTAAAGTGCTTGCCATTTTCCCAAAGCTTCTATTTTTTTCTATTTCTTTCTATAGACAGTCATGTGAAAAAGAAAGTACATCTTCTTTAAGTTCTGTGGTTTTACGCATCAGGACACGGTAAAAATCATCTGGTCCTTAGCAGTTTTTAAAAGTAGGTAAATACAACCTCGGATGAACTAGAACACACCACATATTACACCATGTCATGGTAGAAGTCAATGGAATGGAATGACTACTTGGAAGTCAATGTCACTAATTCCAGTGCATATGAAGTCATCCTTGTAGAAAACCTCACTATTGGTTTCCACTGTACTCAATAGGATCTAGTTTAAGTGAGGATGTGCAAAGATCAGGCTTCACATGCTACATATATTCTTGCAACAGGATAGAACCAAGGTACTTATACATTGGATCTGGTTACATATGTACATACAATATTGAATATTGTACTTTGATACAAGAAAATAATCTTAGTCTTAGCAAATCCTAAGAATTGTACATGCATGTGTTCATTGATTTTTTGGGAACCCATTAGAAGTGTTCATGTAATGATAACCCTTTTTCTACTGGCCATTATATCTTGCTTGTTGCATTTATAATAAGCTGCAAATAGGGGTTTTCCCCCCTCAGCAAACAGACCAAACTGTAGACTGCAAGTCATGGTTAAGGCAGTAGCTAGAATCTCCTTAGGGAAGCAGCAAAATTCTTTGCACTGTCAAGGCTATTTTTCCCATCTTAAAACAACGAGTTGTCACTGGAAGATTACCTGAATGATTTTCTGTGTCTGAATATCAAGGATCATTATTCTATTCCACTTAGGCTGAGTAACATAAATATATTTGTCTCTAACATTGACAGCAGAAGCCCAGAGGCAAGACTGAACAACTTCACCTTCAAGAGTAGGACAGATATCTGCCTGAAATAAAAAGAAGAATGGAGTTTGAATCTCTGCCAAACATATCTACAAAGAGGGAACCCTCTCACACACACCCCCCAAACCTGAGGACCTTAAGTAAAAAGTATGCAACTGTTGATGCACTTAAAACAGGAATCTTTTTACTTGTACTAGAAACAGGTCTTTAGTACGCAATATTTTGAATTTTATTTTATTTATTATTTAGATGTATAGTCCACCTTGCCCTCCAAAAGCTCAAAGCATCTTTCTCCAGCATGAACGTTAACTTTCAGATTGGATCTGTTCTGTATTCAAACGTGCATTTTCTATAGCCAAATGCAATGCACCATATCAACAAACAAGTGCCAAACTCAACTTTGTACTTTTCTATTCATACACATTTATGTATCTTGTTCTCTCTTTTCATAATTCAGTTAGGCTCAGATTTCTCAATTCAGCGAGGCTCAAATTAGGCTCAGGTTTCTCAGTCTGTGGCTTGGAACCCAATAGTTTGGCCCTCCAGAGGGATCCCACCTCAGAGCAAATGGGGGAAGGTTGTCACAATATTTTTTTTAAAAAAAATCCCTTGATGTGGCTTGCATAGGAAAGAAGGGACACTGTTAAAAAATTCATTTTGTGCTTGCTTGCTTTATAAATCCAGAAAATTTACAAATCCCGCTAGTTTTAGTTTTAATTGTTTAAACTAAAAAGTGTATTAATTTCCTCAACACATCATCAAGGAAATTTTGTTTATAGGGGAGACATCATTTATGTTAGAAGCCACCATATCTACAGAATTTAAAAATCCCTGCATTAGATCAACATTATCAATACTCTGGACATTAATCATGACCTCAGACTTACATAACTGGTGAACACTTTCTCATTTGGTTTGATATTTCTCTGGATCTCACAGTCAGTTGGCTGAATTATTGTGATTCCATCTTCAGAAAAGACATAAAACATACTTCCCACACTGAGACCTTGAAGAAAAAATCAGAACAAAAAGAGCAAGAGAAAAAAAAAGTCATATTTCCTATGTCTAAAAGCAAAATGAAAGCTAAACCAGAAAAAGAAAGTACTAACAAGGAAAGGTTGGAAGGAAAAAGAAAAACACCTAAAAATCAGGATACTTTTGGTGCATTCACAAAATTAAAGTTCATATCACAAGTACAGGTTCAAGGTGTGGGAAAAGAGGTACAAGTAGACCCAAAAATGTTTTGCCTTGGTGGTAGCAGTCAGACCTTCAAATAAGGAACTGGGGTCATGGGTCTGTTGATCAGACAAGCAGGCTTCCTTCCTTTACATGAAAAAAGAGACCGCTAACCATTTTGGTTTTTCAGGAAAATGCCTCAAATGCAGGAATCCTATAATATATTGCACATAGTTCCACACTGAAGCAACACATATTGTTTATAGCTTTCAGAGAATATTTTGTTTGGTATCCAATAGCCTTTGGGGATCGGTCAGTTCTCATAGCCACCAAAGCAAAGACATTTTTGAAATTTTGCAAACTCTAATTCACAAATATGGAACCTTTTAGCATTGCAACAGCACTCATCTGTGAAAACTGGGGCATTCCAGAAGGTTTAGAAAATAATTTGTCAATGAGCTGCTAGTAAAATATTGCATTCTACATTTTTGCTTAATTAGAATGTCCCATGACTTAGACAGAGGACTTCATTTTCCATTACATGCAGAAGCAGTAATAAATACATTGTGTGCTGTATTGAGCAGCTTTTCCATCATTTTTCAGCAATCCAATCAATACACGTGATCAGAGTACAGATTTATACTGGCTGTTTTGTAATGGCTACTGTCATTCCAAGTGATATTGATAGTGTACTTATCTGCCAAACGTCCATAGTTCTATTGTGGTCAAATTACTACTTTTTTTTGGTTTTGCATGGAACATACATATATATTAATTTTAAAAAATCAGCTGTTGTAGATGGTTATTCTGCTTCAGCTAGTGATCCCCAAATCCTGTTCAGACTAGAAATGTTCCGGAGTAGATCACATGCTTCCAGGACTGAAAATTAATCCAGTTAAGGTTAACCACTTTCACTCCCACTTATTTCAAGGAGAGATAATTCAAAATCATGCTACTACTAGAACTGAGAGTGCATTGACAGAATTGGAGACTGTTTAATAATTTAAAAAGGCCTTTGTTCTGGAACAGTTTCAAATAATACTTATTTTCTTGGTTAATGGATGTGAACTTGCAGAAAAATGGTACCCGGATTATTCAATCTGATATTTCAGCATATGATGTTTAGTCTCCTAGTTATACCACAGAAATACCCCAGTTAAGGCATCAAAATGGATCTAGAAGAATGATGTTTAAATGTGATGCTGGATTGAGGAACCATGCATTTCTGAAAGCATAGCTACTGCCTGGCAGCTTGAATTGCTGCAAATCAGTTAAAAGACACTTTGGCTCAAAGTTTCTTAGATAACAGTTTATTACTGAGAACCTTGTCAGTTCCCATTCAACAGGGATTTAAATATGCACATTGGAAGGTGGAGTTTGACCTCTGATGAAATGAGTGCACATTTCTGCAGATGGGTAAAATTGGGAAGTTTTTAATCAAATTGTAGCAATCATGCAGTAATTTATATGTAATTGTGAATTATGAATTTAGTTCATGCACACTGACTTCCTATTCTGCATGATTGTTTTGATAAAAACACGTGATCCACATTCTAGATTTTATACATCATAATGGTAATATCAAGCATGTATTTAATGTTGTTTATGTATTAGTGATGCAAACACACATTCATAATACACTTTCTATTATAATATTGTATATTGTACTCTAAATGCCATGAGAACCAGTATTTCGATGGTTACTAAAAATTATGCCTAGTTTTATAAAGTACAATATTCTGTTTCAATTATTTTGTATTTTGAACAGAGTTTAGCTCCAAATGGGCTTTTAGAACTCTTCTTTTCACATAGCATTCTCTTCCAAGGAACATCCCTGTTTCTTTTCTTTTCTTTTTTCCATCTGAAGCATTCTATTGAACTGATTTCAAAGAAAGATAATGTAACCCCATGACTGAATAGGTTTTCTCTCATGGATATTAACCTGCAATACAGCAAAGCATTATAAACAAAGAATGGTTCTCACAATCTTTTTGCAGATGAGCAAAATATAATTTTCTCTTATCATTGTATCTGTATCTGGCTGTCTTTTCATTATTTGCAGTCTGATTGTCATATCTTGTTTTTGAAATATCCAGTACAGCAAATTTAAAAATTCAGGAATAACTGACATAGCAACTCAGAAGGCAGTGAAACATTCATTGTCATCATCTATGATGTTATATTTATTTGAAATTAATCCTAAAATTGCCTTTCCGATTTTCTCAGCATTTTGTAATAGACTTTTTATATGTCTACTTGTCTGTTTGGTGTTTCTCTACTTAATCATATATGACTATTTCTACTTTCCTATCATGAGAGATGAATGGGGACATTAAAGAATTAAAGGAAGAAAGGAAGAAAGGGATTTCTGTAAGTCTGATCTGCTGCTTCTTGAGCTCAAGCACCAAACGGAAAACTGTAGGAGATCCTGAAATTGCAATATCTGCGTTTTCTTTATTGCAAAGTGCATTTCACTGTTATATCACTATTGCTTATGTCTTTAATAAGAGGACTAAATAATCTAAGAAGCCTTATGATGCTAAGGGCTAAAGATACAGCCTTCTGTCACAGAGTGCCCTCAACATGGATTATTTCAGTAATTCAGCAGGATGTCAAGCTGTTTATAGGTCTGCCAAAGGTCTAGAAAGTTAGCTATGAACACATTTGGTCATAATCAGCATTTGTTAAGTTCAAAAAGTTAAACAACAATTTTCATGTTGAATTTTTTGCATGTGCAAATATATAAGAACATTTATACTCAATAAAATTATACTTTGATATGTGGATGAAAATGTATCTTGTATTTTCATATATCTTTATATCTGAAATGTCAGCATCTATGACCCTATTCTATCCTGTCTTGTCCTGCCCTATGCTATGCTATGCTATGCTATGCACTATGCTATGCTATGTTATCCTGTCCTATGCTATGTGCTGTGGTGTGCTGTCCTGTCCTATGCTGTGCTATGATGTTCTGTGCTGTGCTGTCCTGTCCTATCCTAGGGAACATTTCATAGTGACTGTTTTATTTTGCAACCCCATATACTTTTTAAGTATAATGGTGTGGAATAAGGCCAGGGATAGATGCCTTCCAATCCTAGTGTGAGATTTCATAAGGAATACCCGTATATGCCGGCGTATAAGGCGACTTCCGTGAGCGCTAAAATCGGCGCCAAAGATGAGAGTCGTCTTATACGCCGAGTTGTCTTATACGCCGGAAATACTGGTAGTTTCTGGCGTATAAGACGACGTTCTAGGAATGCAGCCCGGCGATAAAGATGGGGGTCGTCTTATACGCCAGGTCGCCTTGTACGCCGGCATATACGGTATTTGAATCTTGAAAATGTTTGATTGTTTAAAGTTTGTATAAGAACTGAATGCGTAAATGCCAAATAAACAGACATGGATAGTAAGCAATATTCTGTTTTGCTTAAAGAAATGAGTGTGACCATTTCCCCCCCCCCCCAAATATGTACAGGATACTGAGGAAATATGGCACTGAAGAATGTGGCTTAATTAAATAATCTGTACAAACACAATTATGAAGCAAGAATGACAGGGACTGGTTGCTATATGTTTAAAATATATTTCATATAGGTCAGAAATAATTATTATTCTACTAACATGATGATAATATGTTTAAACTCTATAATGATTTTTTAACATGTGGAAGATCTAATACAGTCTTCCCAACCTAGATGCTCTTCAGAGGGGTGAATTTCAACTCCCAGAATATTTAATAATGACTACACAGTTGAGGAATTCTGAGGGTTGAAGTCCATACAGGAAGAAAATGTCCAGGTGAGAGAAGACTGGCCTGGGCCATTATGTCTTAGGCACCCTTTTGAAAATGTATGTTACTGTATTCATATTGTCCCAGTTATGCAATTGGTTTGCCTGTGCCTTAAACTGAGACTGGCCAACATTGCTAACATTAGTGGAAAAATCAGTGGAGAATGATTTCTTATGGATTTATTAAAGCAGACAAGCACATTATCACTACAACAAGACAATGTTACTGCAGTACCTTCCTCTCGCCACAGTATGTTTGCAACTGCAGCATCAGAGAAATGGGAGAGCCAGAAAATGGAAACAAAAAACAATGTCAACATTTCATTGTAGCAGTTAAATGACGTTAATGCTCTTTTGTTTTGTTTTTTCTTACACAATAGCAATTTCTGAAATAAGTGATTACATTTTTGCAGAGAAATGAAGTTATTGGAGGGAACCTCACCAATTTTGACTTTCTGTGTGAGAATTCCAGACTCCCCTGTCCCTCCCAGCAAAAGTATTTGTACGTAGGAAACTCATATTCACCAAAGTATCTTGGATTTTTGCCGCATAAAGGTTGTAATCCTTGGGACACTAAAATCACATAGAGCAGGTGCACCAACCACATTCAAGTCTAGCCTATATATAACTTCATATAGGTCAAAAATAAATATTATTCTGCTAATAATGATGATAATATGTTTAAACTCTCTATACTGGTTGTTTAAATGTGGAATATCTAATGCAGTCTTCCAACCCAGAGGATCTTCAGAGGGGTGAATTTCAACTTCCAGAATATTTAATAATGACTACGCAGTTGAGGAATTCTTGAGAGTTGAAGTCCATACAGATAGAAAATCTCCAGGTGGGAGAAGAACCTTAAGAATAGCCATGGTTAGCTTGGTACGTCTTGGCCTGCCTACCACAAGCATAATTAAAGCTCTGTTTTCCTCCAAGCACAATCACACTATTTTATGTAAACTAAAATATCTAATGTAGAGGCTACCTTATAGCCAATGCACTCCTGGCCTCTTCCAACTGTGGATGTTAGGGCTCTTCTGCCAGTTAATATAAGATGGCAACTTTCTGTTTGTCGCTGAAAGCAAATTGTTTAGGCAGATGTATTCAATTCCAATGGTCTCCTGTTGATTTTGTTATGATATACACACCGGAATTTATGCCATACATTTTTACACTTATCTGCAAAATATCTTACAGGGAGATCTTTTAAAAAGGTATGTGTAAATTGGCCTTTAAGGAATTTGTCACAGGCAATGCCACTTAGCAATCTGCATGATAATGAAGGTAACAAAAGCAATCAAAATAGAACAGACAGTTTCAACTGCAATTGTTAGTTTTACGTAAAGAAAATGAATGCTAACCTGAGTAAGGCCTTAAAGGAAGTAGTTGGAACTATTCTTTTCTACCAGGTATACTGAATCTCATAGTTTCACATAGCTTTGCAGATAATTTATGATTTAGGATACATAATTATGAATTAGAGGATTTACCAGATCTCATTGTCTTTCCAATCTGAATGGGACAGCCCTTCAAATCATGAATTATAGTTTAATTAATGAGTTTGAAGTGAGGCAATGGGCTATTATTATTGGATTTAATTAATAAAATTAATTTAGATTTAATTTAATTTAATGCAGCATTCTTCAGCCTGATACCTAAAGAGTTTGAAATTACAATCCTCATAATTTTGAACCAATTTGGCCAAAAACCAGTGCTAGTTGGGGAATTCAGAAAAAATAGCTTGGAAAGATCTCCAAAGACAATCTGCTGGATCAATCCATTTTTAATTGGTCCTTGGGGAGCGTTTCCCAAGATTGTATTCTTTAAGTACCATATACGATTTCAGAAATGAGTTTGAAAGAAATATGTTCAGGGACTCCTAAAATTTTTACCTTACTAATGAAAACTATAGAAATTTCCATATGTTACAAATCTGCAGCTAGGAAACTATCAAGTTTTGTTTCACTCAGTAAATAATTCTTATTTCTAGTGATCAATGGGAACTAGACAGTCATTCTGAAATTAGACCTCAGTATGTGGTCCTTTACGCAGGCAAAATCCAGTTTGGTTCCAATCACTCAAGTCCATTAAAAGAGGACATATAATTAGAAAGTAGATATATAAATTAAACTTACGGGTTTTTCTTGCTGAATCTTCAATGAAGAGAGACGAAATGTCCTCATCTACCCCCACTTCATTTTTAGCAATGCAAGTGTAGGCACCTGTATCTTCGTATCGAACACTGCTGATATGAAGTTCACTTCCATTTGCTGCAGCATCACAAAAAGAAAGGCATAAAAAGTTGAAAATGCAAGAGGCTTCAGAACCTGAACAATTGTCAGGATGCTCTCCTGAGCACATTAATTTGGAGAGCTCTGCTGAAATTAAAGGGATTATAGGCCAGCCTCAGAATGATTCTGTTGTCCAATATTTTTTGTGGTGAGATGGCCTACAGAAGGAAGATTCTAGAATATTCTGCAGATATCCACACTGACATCTTTTGTCAGAATAAGGAAAGGATAATTGAAAAATATATCCATTCAGTTAACATTTCTGAACTAGTATGAATACTTTTTTTTGAAAATTTTTACAGATATGCTGAGTAAGTGATATATAAAAGGGGCAATTATGGAGGAATTGTGAAACCTGATTGAAATATACTTCATATTTTATTTTTCCGTTTTACGGACAATCTTTTGGCCTCAAGTAACACGCAGACCACAGAGGCCTGTTGCAGATATTACATCCCTAAACCCCCTGGTAATTCCCCAAATTGTTAGAGGATGATATTAGGCCTCTTTGGTAGCCCAAGAGAAAGTACCATGTTCCACTGTAATAACATATCTGGCAATGGAAAATCCTCCTCACCTCATTTATTCTTTGCTTTCTTTATATTACAATATTTGTAAATCATCTCAATCCTGTAAGTTTTGGGGTGATGTACAGGTAAGTTAAAAAAAACACCCTTACAATAATATAGCAAGAAAATTCTGTTAAGATTTGACATGATAAGAATGCTTGCTCACAATCAGCCAAAGCAAGAGTCACATTGGAATTGATTTTTGATGTAATATCCTAATGCTATGTTATAACTTTCTTTCTTTAGGTTGCTGCTTTCCAACTACTTATGAAGGTATAATACCTCTTCTTTCAGTTGGGCTTGACCTCCTGAGCATATCCATGCAATTTTCTTTGTGCCATTATGCAAGTGGTTGCTATGATGTTCTTGCACATTTTTTTTCCAGTTTCCTGATGTTGCTTACAAACCAGGTATTCCTTAATGGTTTCCCATCCAAATAAAATTATTACGGTAACTTCTGAAAAGGACAGCTAGGTGCATCCATCAATAGAGACAATCTACTGTTCTACTGACACTGTTCAAAACTGCTAATTTGTAATAAGCAGCCATAGAATCATTCAACTGATAATGGATAAAAAGAATTGAATATTGTCTTAATTCTCTAGCAAAAGAGAAGTGCATAATATATGTAGAGTCATTTAAAAAAGAGGTGCAGTAAATCAACATCCCAAACAGGCCCCAATATATGTTAGCCAAGTAGCACAAAGGCAAAGTCATATCTAGATGACATAAGATCAAATATTAGTAAAGAATTTTTTTAAAAAATCCATATGATTCTGCCAGTGATAGATAAAACTCACATTCTTTTCACCCTTACCTAAAATAAGGAGCTGCTTGGATAATTTTGGTGTGATAGCCATTCCATTCTTTAGCCAGGACATTTTGGGATTTGGAATGCCTTCAGCATGGCATTTGAGGCTGGCTGATATTCCTGGTTCTTGTGCCTGACTTTCAGGATAGACACGAATCACTGGTGGCACTAAGGGGAGAAGAAACAGGAACTGATGACTTTAAATTAAGTTAAATTAACCTTTGCAGCTCTTAGAACATCAGATGCTGTATTCAGAGCCAATTCAGGAGTCTTGTACAATTACATATTTTTTCCAAGAGGCAGGTTGCTTCTAATTTGGGCAATGGTGAGTTAGAAAGTAAGCACTGGATATGAAGCTCTTCATTTTCTGTAATTTATCTCTTAAAGTTGTACACATATGGAGGACACTGATTTTATATTAACTGAGTAAATCCATCCATCCACCCATCCATCCATTCATCCATCCATCCGCCCATGCATCTTCCCATCAATCCATTGATCCATCCATTGATCCATCCATCCACCCATGCATCCACCCATCTGCCCATGCAGCCATCCACCCATCCACCCATGCATCCATCCATCTGCCCATGCATCTATCTATACATCCATCCATCCATCCACCCACCCACCCATCGATCCATCATTCATCCATCCATCTACCCATCAATTGATCTATCCTCCATCCACCTACCCATCGATTGATCGATCCATCGATCCATCCATGCATCCGCCCATGCATCCATCATCTGCCCATGCATCCATGCATCATCCATCCATCCATCTATCCACCTACCCATCGATTCATTGATCCATCCATCCACCCATGCATCCATCTGCCCATCCATCCATCCATCCATCCATCCACCTACCCATCAATCCATTGATCCATCCATCCATCCACCCATGCATCTATCCATTCATCCACCCATCCACCAATCCATCCACCTACCCATCAATCTATTGATCCATCCATCCATCCCTCCACCTATGCATCTATCCATCCATCCATCCATTGATTCATTCATCCAATTTATATTGTTGCATATTACACAAAACAAATGACTCTAGGCTTAACAACATGATTCACTTAATAACTACAGTGATTTGCCTGACAACTGTAGCAAAAAGATAATAAAATGGGCACAACTTACTTAATTATCTTGCTTAACAATGGTAATGTTGGGTTCAATTGTAGTTGTAAGTCAAGGATAGCCTGTAGTCCAACCAGGTCATGACTAGAGCATGACTGATCATGAATGAAGCCCCTCACTCCAGTGGTAGGTAAGAAAATAAATACTGGGTTGGAAGATCTTTTCTGTGTTTTATCTGCTTAAAGCTGCACACTTATGGACCACACTGCTTTTGTATTAGTTGAGTAAATATATATTCTCTCTCTCTCTCTCTTTCATTTCTCTCTTTCTGTCTGTCTCTCTATCTCATCTCTGAAATGACTGGCTGGACAAATGAAGACTCTCTTTTCACCAATTTTGTGCTTTTGATTGCAACTGCAGAGGCCTTTGTAATAAAAACAAGCCAATAATCAATGCAAAGACAGATTGAGTTAATATATTATATATAGTATATTGGATATTATTAAATTATGATGCTGGTGCTTAAAAAATAATTCTTTTCTAGGCAACATACTTAATACAAATCTAATTATGTTTTACCTCAAAGACTTGAAAAGAGTCTACCTTTTGCCAGATGGAATTAAACCATCCTGAGTTCTGGCATTAAAAACTGGAAGCAAATGCTATTATTGTTCAAGCAGACGTATTGTAATCAAACCCTCTTTCGGAAATGAAAAATGAAAACAAGCTATCTGCCAAAACATTAGACTATCCTACATTTTGTTGCTGGTTGCATAGTCTAATATGAGATATTATCAACTATAAAATATATAAGTATTTAGCCTATCTGGGCTTTGAAAATCTGAATAACTACTAGATGGCAGCAGAGAATTTGAATTTTTTGTACCATTTTCTACTATTTAATTGATTGATTTGTTTTCATTGTGTGCCATCAAGTCTTTGTCAACTCTTAACAACCACTTAGAAACCACCTAACAGTCCCTAAATGCAGGTCAAATCTGTTAACCCCAGTTCCCCCCTCTTTTCAGTTCACATATTTTACATACTTTAGAGGGGGAATCATTCTGAAACATCTCATGGAGGGAAATGTTAGTTCACAATGAGGGAGGGAGGAAGGAAGGAAGGGAGTGAGGGAGGAAGGAAGAGAGGCAGGCAGGAAGGGAGGGAGGGAAGGAGGAAGGAAGGAAGGTCCTACTGCCTCACTGCTAAAAGTAATACCATAGAAGGAAATTTTGCTGCGCCACAGGATTTAAAAATGGCTCTTCCTTGGCCATTCCCCAAGTTCTGGGTCTCTTCTGATCTCAGATGTCTCCTTTCTTGTTTACTTCCCAATTAGACTTTTTATAAATCACTTCATCTTAATTATGATTACAAATGCACAAAATGTAGCAAGCCATTTTTAATCACAGGAATATATGCTGGGGTCCAGACTGTTTAGGAATTCAATATACAGTAAGTACAAGTATTTTGAATTAAATACTTCAAATTCCTTTAAATCTTGATATTTTCTGTTTAGTGTATTGTTAACCAAGTTGGCATTCAATTTTTTTCAAGAGCTGTCCTGTGTGTTATATATCATATTATTACAATTGGCAAAGTATGAAACCCTGTTGTCTCTGTTTTGACATCTTTGTGTCCAAACTGGGAAAATCACTGCTTTTGAGGTCACTGGTTCTCTAATGAAAAAACCCTGGATCTAGTGCATCCCCAAGTTATGTATCTTTAATTAGCTGAAATGGATGAAGAATAATACTTCTAATAGAAGTGTCTATTAATACTTTAACACCTTATGTGCATCCTCAGGCTGAATTAATTGAAAGCAGTATCAGGCAACCAGACCAGAAAAATTCTGAATAAATCCATAGGAAATGCTCTTATGGGGTTATCAAGGTCAAAGTAAATATGGAAAATATTTTGGAATTGTACCAAAAAATATTCATAACAAATATCTGACTCCCAGAATTTAATTATTAATTATTAATAAATACTTTACCAATCCAAACAACTCTACTGGATAGCAACTCAAAGATACAACAATGGCTATCATACACTGCCACAAACTTGGCCTAATACAGTAATTATCTTCCATCTGGCTTTATAGTGGGACCTATTTCTTACATGGTGAAAAGAAAACAGCCTGACAGCTGATCAATCTGTGACCACAACATAAAACTGGTGGAAATAGCCCATAGGCACCCCAAAGGGACTTTCCTGTAGCTGTTTACACAGTCTGGGCAAGAGAAAGAGGAGAAAAATATGATTGCAGTACAAACAGAAATCAGATTTCATACACAGCAGTGATTGGAATTCTTTCAAAACAGCTTCTTTGCTTTTCTACAATAATTCAGAAGTTTGTGTATTCTTGTATCCCTCTTGTCTATTTCAATCCTGCTTGTTGGTGAGAAGCTGCAGAATCATTTACTATGACTCAAACCAAGTGTGAGATGTGAACAAATCTTGCTCAGTCTTGCTTTGTTCTGTTTATCTTATTGCAGCTACATCCTACAATATGGAGCAAGTTATGCTGTACAACATGAGGATGTAGAGTTGGGATTAAGAATCTATGGCCCATTCAGTGTTTCAGAGTAAGCGCAAAATTTCAACGTTCTCAACTAGAAATTCTCTAAAAGCACTGAAGGGCTGTTTTATTCATGAGTCATTGCAGGAATCAACTCAATAGATCCAAGACTCTTTAATAAAAGAATGGCAGCTTCTGAACCTTAATGAGAACTGAAGTGACCATGGAATGGAGTTCTAGATACTGTTACCATTCTAATTCCAGACTTCCTATCTGATCAGTGGGATAAGTCCAGGGCAAATGCTACAGAATGTGAAGAGTGTGACATCTGAGGGGCCACATACAGTTCCACATCATCCTCTTTATGGCCTCATAACGCCAAAATGTGCAGAAATGTTTGGAGTAAGTTTAAGAAGAAACATACAGCTCTTTTTAAAAACACCAAAGTCTAAAACCACAGGCCATTTTCTCACCACATGGGAAGTTTAAGATTCAAAATGAACTTCTAGAAGGAATCCATTTTACTCCTTAAAAAACCCAAACTTTCCCCAATAAGGAAAAAAAATTACTCTGAAAATTTCATCTTTGCTCAGTCTGGACATGTCATGTTTCAGACTATGTACTTTAATATTCAGAGGGAAAAAGACATAACGTAAAAGGGTGAAAAAGAAAGAATAGAATAGAGCTGGAAGGGACCTTGGAGGTCTTCTAGTCCAGCCCCCTGCTCAAACAGGAGTCCCTATACCATTTCAGATAAGTGACTGTCCAGTCTTAAAAACCTCTAGTGATGAAGCACCCACGACTTCTGAAGGCAAAAGCTGTTCCACTGGTTGATTGTTCTCACTGTTAGGAAGTTTTTCCTTAATTCCAGGTTGCCTCTCTCCTTGGTCGGTTTTTAACCATTGTTTCTTGTCCTGCCTTCTGGTGCTTTGGAAAATAAATTGACCCCCTCCTCTTTGTGGCAGGCTCTCAAATACTGGATTACTGCTATCATGAATGAAATGTTTGCTCGTTCATTCTATACAATTCATAGTTTTGTTTCTTTGAAAAATTGATTATGCTGAAGAATACCTCTCTTCCCAACCCCAATCTGATAATAATAGTTTGCTAAAAAGTTAAATTGAAAAGTAACCTGAGAAAAAGCTAAAATAATAAAAAATGGAATGTTTATTAAAACATCCACCCACTTCCACTTTACACACATAATCTTTAGGAAAAGTAAAAATGTTTAAAACATATTCAGTATTTCCATCCAAAATGAAATTGGTCTAAACAAGGGAAATCTATTAGCAAAAACTGTACCAATAACCCTTGTGTTCAATACAGAATTTTCATAAACATCAATAATATTCTCTTATTAAATGAAATAAATATACACCCTGCTTATCAAAATGTTTTATAATGAAGTAAAAATGAGGTAATAATTCTTTGCTCTATGCAAAGATAAGTACAAGACAACAGAATGGGGTATTTTTTTTTAATATATAAAAGAACAGCTTTTTGGAATAAGTCATTTTAAATGCCAGGAAATGAACCCAAAAGATGTTGCTGGGACT